TGTCTTTTTTGTTTGATTTCGTGATGTGTTGTGCACGAGTCCAAGGCTTTTTTTGTTTTAATGTTTTATGCTTGCTGAATGTCATATTGTTTTCTGTTGTTGATTTTTCTCGCTTTGTTCTGTATTAAACAATCCTGTGGAAGGGAAGTGTTAGGTACAGCATCAAAGCATCGGTATTCCATAGTTTTTGGTGCCTCATCACACCATTTTGAAATCACTTTTCTTTAATCTAATTTGTTTCAGTGTGGTAACTTAAGATGAGAAAAAGCGAAAGCATTTTTGTCATGTTCATGATATTACGTTCATACCGACTTGAGATGTATGTCATTGTTTGCTGGAGCATCTCTCACTGAATCACAAGTTCCAGCCTGTGAGTTAGATTTTTCACTACGGTACGGTCCTTTCGCGATAGAATTTTCATCCCCAGCCTAACTCAAAAGCGATTGTAGCTAACGGAAGAACACCAAAATACAACGCATGTACCATGTTTGGAGGCGGCGTTCCGACGCACCCCCGTCGCCAGATGCCCAACGGCGTCTGTCATGCGACAACGAGGACGCCTGCTTCTAATGACGCATATGCGCAGTGCGCGAGTTAGAAACGTAAGGGACGGTGCAGCGGCGAGTCGGTAGATTGATGTCCCTCTTACGTAAGAAGCACAGGTCTCGATTTATATTTTGGGGGCGCACTGCCCCCCCTCCCCGCCCAACTGTTGATTTCCCCCTCCCCCCCGCAAAGTTGGCTTGGCCCCACCCAGTGGTTTTGGCTGGAATGCCGCAAAAAAACATAGGCAAAAGACGACTATCACATGAAGGCTATCTTCCTTAGTCTTACTGCGCAGTGGCGTCGGTATGGAGGATGCAGCAGGGCACCTTGATACATACAGCCTCAAATTATTTCCTCAAATGATGGGTAACTTTGAATAGGGCGAGTTAACCCTTTTCACATATGACTTTTTTGCTCGTCAACAAAGCACCAGACGCTTATTCCCCGCAAACTAAACATAATACTGACGCCACTGACTCACTGGTCTCGTGATACTTTTATCCCGAGCGAAATTTCGTCTGCTACCCATGGAAGGCAACGAGCCTAGCATTGTTTCTTCATTAAAATCCGGCTTTCTTTAAAGTATTGTCTCATGAGAAAATAAATCGAGTACAGAATGATATTTTTGGTGCGGCACCGTTACTTTAGAATGAAGCCTCAGCTATGAAATGGGTGTATAATACACATAACAGACAGAAAAAATAAAAATTTTGGTGGGACAAATTTGGAATCGGATCCATTGCTAAAAGTCATGAATTTCTTCCACTCCCACCCAACATTCCATTAATGTAATTTTGGTAACACGGATCCACTCTGCATCGGGCCCTCACCCATATACCACTAAGGGACCTTTACCGTGTCATGCAATTACACGACTCTCGGCGCCCTGTGATCAGGCTGGCGCTGTCAAGGCAGCAGCCAATGGCCCTCTTCGGCGAGCCATATACGAACAATTGTTCTGGAAGGCGAGCCCTCCACCGCGCGTTTCGCCCATCACAATGTGGTCAGCATAGCTTCAGTTGATTTCAGCTCTGTCAAAGTTAAGTCTCGGCAATGTCGATCGGCGTGTCTTCGGAGCAACTTATTTTTTGCGAGCATTTCGCGCGTTTGCGGCCAGCTGGTTCGTAGAAAGGCAAAGCCTGTTAGCTGCCACATCCCTGACCTTTTCTACGGATATCATCTGTTAACTGCAAGTCAGCCATGCTAGTTAAACTCGGATAATTGTATGCCACCACTAACAATGGCGTCGTTTTGATGTCATATATATTTGGACCTACACTTGCCCGCTACATTTTGCGGCAAAAGTACGGGAAATGCTAATTTCATCTGGTGTCCCATAGTCATTTTAGTTCAAAATGTTTGGCCGCATGCCATCGCGATTTCCAGGGAATTAATATATTTGGGTTTTAAATGAAACTTTCAGATTTCAAGGGAGATGAGAATCGACATGCGCAGCAGAAAATCTTAACATTTAATAATGCACAATCGTACACATTTAAGTGATACTTATCTTGAAGGATGGTTTGTTACTAATTTGTAATTCTGATGGAGATCTAGCCTGCATGAAATTAAAGTGTCTTACAAAATGTGGTCATTTCATGGATATTTAGGCACAAATCAGGTCACAACAATAATTTAACATGCGCACGTATGGCCGTTTGATCGCGACGCGCTCAGAATGGGAGGTCAGTTTGACCCCTGGGTTAAGAGGCAGGAGAACAAGAAGCAGTAAACCCACGCGGTAGAAAGGCCTGTGTATGAGCCCACTTGTGTCAAATTTTGAGATAGACTAGGTCAAAGTACTGACTGACCATTGGACCAAACCAAGGCTAAACTCCAGATCAGTGGCCCAAGTACCTCCAGACCTCCTTATGCAACCGCTTTAATCCCTAGATACCTGATCTATGCAAAGTTTCACGGGTGTTTACTTCAGGTCACGCCGGTCGGAGAAACGCTTGGTGCTGGTCACTTTAGGTCAGTGATCTTCTCTGACTTTCAAGAAATCTAGATGAGATGTCATTTGAAAAAAACAGTTTGGTCTTGATCTCGGTCTTACCTTCATACTGACTCAAGTTCAGTGAAATTAGTCGTAATCCTGACCTCGATGGACTAATTGTCTAAGAAATTACCACAGAGGTGTATACATTTGTTTAAAAGTCGTGTGTAGGAGTGTGTAAGGGGACGGACCTAAGGGCATATTTCAAGAACGCACTCTATTGAAACCTGATGATTAGTTATGTCTAATATTGGCAGAGAGTGAGTGAAAAGTGAGAAGCTCAAGTGAGAGGCTATGGAATACGGGAATCGCGTAAGTCGTTCATAGCCACCCTAACCCTCCCCGTCCCCCACGACCAACATGCGTGCCGCCTCCCGTGACCGCCATAGAAGAGTGTCTTCGGCGCCCTGAGGAGGCCTCTAAAGGGGCGCCTTCACTTGTCTATCCGAAGAGGCGCCTGTTCCATGGATCCTTTTTATAAAGTACACAAAACTTAAAAACGTATCTTGCCTTTCATCAAAATGGAGTGAACTAAATCCGATGAGAAAAAAATGTGGGTGGGCAGGCTGATGGGCGTTCGGTTCTGCCCCCCAATAGTTTTACAAAAAATGACACCCTTGGTAACAAATTATGCAGGAGGGTTACGATTTTGTGCTTTTGCCACCTGTATGAACGTTAAGATTTGTCTTGAACAGACGCTTTCTCTAAAAACGAAAATGGCACCTTCATTTTGTTGATGAACATTCGAACAAGTGGATCACTGTTTTATTTGGTACAAATGGACAAAACGGTGCTAAGGTAGCGATAACAACGTGGTCATGCCTTTGGAAAATGGGGGAAATGCTCCCCGCCTAGAGAACCCATGCCGATACGTCATTCAGCCAGCTTAACACAATTTTGACTTCACGCCCAGCAGTGTCCAGCCTTGGGAGTAATCGATCCTTGCGAACAAACGCTAATGACCTGACCCAAACTGCACTCGCAGCCAACCACTTCGGTGCGTGCGATCGGGGGCTACAGTCATTTGAAATGACTTCCGGATGGACATCGAGTGTGTTCCAGAAAATGACAAACACTTTGTGGTTGATCCCGAGAAAATATGGCGAGTTAACCACGCAGCTCGGCAGCAAGAGGGCATCGAGCGTGCAAACAAGGTGTTTGGCGTGAGACCACGCGCATTGCAACTCAACTGAGATATATGCGAGCACAATACAGTGTGTACATGCTGTGCGATGTAGTACACGATAGCATGCTAGGTAGTTAGGCCCACACCAAAAACGTTTTTGATGTGCTTCTGCCACCAAGAACAAACGCCCAGTAACACAAAAGGGTTAATTTTGCACCGGATAGCATAAGCTCGCAACAGCAGCGTACCCCGCTTTCTCTCGAGCATAGCAGCAGGCTTGCTAAGGATAAAAAATATACTAAGCATCCTCTCTAACATGCATTTTCCTCCATTATGGATCACAAACATAAAACCACACGTACGTTGCAGAAGGTGAACTGTGACACCGCAGTGCAAAATAGTTTGCACCATGATAATGAGCTTGTGAACTACTTCAAGGCCAGGTTTGAAGAGCATTGTAATAGTTTGATGTTGAATGTGAATAGGACTAAGTGTGTGAGCTGTTTTCACCTGCGTGACGCAGCAAATAGCTCATCTGTGATCGCAGTTGTCTGCAGTTGGACGTTACTATTCACTTCACAGTTGGAGGAAGAGGGGGAGCAGCATTGCTCGCCGTTCTCGCCACCGGCTTATCAGTGCGTGTATTGGGGATGAGTAGGAGACATCAGTTATTATCGGAAAACAATGCCGGTGCACGTGGGTGACAGCTCGCAATGAACGTGCGTAGTGCGCAGGCGTAACGTTGACTGTGAGGATTGCGTTCCGAACGTGATGACAAGCCGCAGGCTGCCGCTATCAGACGTGTTCGTTGATCAGAGTTTCTACATGCCTGGGCGTTGGCTGCACATGTCATGTTGCTCCGAATCGGAATACTCTGTCTCATCGTCGATCATTCGTCCACGAGTAATGCTTTATGGATCATATATTTTGGCGAAAATTTGTAATGATCCCGTTAAAGACACGCTCATTAGACTTTTTTTACCACGCAGATGTAATTTTATCGATCTCATGCACAAATTTGGTAAAGCAAAGCAAGCATCCAAATATTAAATGTCAGACCGCTGCAGGGCGGCATTAGAAAGTATATGAGCTTAACAAAAAGTGCATGGGACGATTGTTCAAATACTATTCGTGAAGGCCTGGATCATAAACCATGTGATCAGTCAACTAGAGGCGACATATAACACTACCCAGCTCACTGTCCAACTCCTTGATCTCCACTTATGCGGTGCGCAGTCTCCTCCTGACTACGGCAATCGCTAATGTCTTCTCAGTCATTCTGTCTGGGCACACTGGCTAGGCACACTCGCCGCAATCCACGACCAACGGGCACTTGGAGATATATTTGTCAGCGCATGCAGCTACCACATGTAGCTAATGACGACCCAGGACTTCCGTACGCGCGCACGGCAAGTGGGTGGTAAACACGGATTGACGAAGCCTTTAAATGAAAGCCATTAACTGTGTTTAAGTATGCTAACTACAGACACGTATCGAGCTTTGTTTAGCTTGCCAATGCGTGTTCTCGCAACACCCATGATGTAGCCCGGCTGCTGCTAACCAAAAGTCTGTTTGGTTGCGGCAACCTAATGCTGGTCTCATATGCATAAAGCCATTAAATAGTATGCTATATCAAACATTATTGTGGAATAAACGCAAGCCGGACGAATCAACGCACGTAATGAGAGTGTTCCACATGTTTAATTGGCATCATGTAGCCAAGATAGCATGTAGACAGCCTCGATGTGCATACACACCTGATGACAAATCAACTTGTCAATGTCGAATAGGCAACCGCCATTCTTTCCGATACTTGTACTACAGCACTTGTGGGCACGCTGTAAAGATGGCATGCAGCTAGTCACGTTTGAACCGTTTGGTTTTCGTTTGCGCCGGACCTGTCTTCCGCCTGCACAGACAGCGGCAGCAACACTTGCCCAGTGCCACCAGCAGCTTCAGCACCAGCACCAGTACTGCCAGCAGGAAGGCGACCACGTCGAGCGAGTAGTATTGGAAGAAGTTGAGGTCGGCGCCCACCGACCTGAGGTGCGGCGCGCCGCCGTGCCGGATCACGTGCTCCACCCAGTGCACGGCCAGGTCACGGGGCGGCACCGGCTGAGAGGCCAGCAGCTCCTGGCGGTAGCGGGACGCCGCCCGGTGCCCGGGAGACATGGCGGAGCGGATGGCCGCCTGCAGCGTCTCAGACGTCAGGCTCTCCCACGTCAGGATCTCCGCCACGCCAAGATCAACAGCGTGAGCCGCGTTACAATGCTGGTCTACCGTCACTGGCATGGCCACCATGGGAACGCCATGACAGAGGGCTTCCAGAACGCTGGCGAAGCCGCCGTGTGAGATGAACAGCCTGCACTTGCTGTCACCCAGGATGTCCTGCTGTGGCAGCCACTTGGACGGCAGGATGTTGGCCGGTATGTTGGTGCGGTCTGTGGTGTCCCACTTGAGCAGGACCTTGAACGGCATCGCACCGAGGGCGTTGAGCACAGCCGAACGTTGACCCACAGACATGTCCTGAGGACGTACCACGGAGCCTAGACTGAAGAATATGTACTCTGAGTCGCCGAGGAAGCTGGTCAGCTCCTTGGACAGGGGCTTCGCGTCCGCACAATGCAGTCCACCCACCTCGATGACATTGGGCAGCAGCGGCTTGTGGTAGTCGATCATTGGGTTGCTGTTGAGTAGGACAAGGCTGGCATTGCGTTCGATCTCTCTGGCTGGAGGAATCACGCCCTCGCCGAACTTCTCTGCAACCATTTTGTCCGCATACCTTGCGAACACGATGCTGGGTGCGGAGTGCATAAAGACGTACCCCAGAATGTTTTTGACACGTTCCATAAAACCCATGCGGTTAGTTGACGCAGTGAGTGGAAGAGGTTGAAGAGCAGGAAGCGTCGGTGAGCCCAACACACTTGTCATAACTGGATAGTAAGAGATCGGAGATATCAGAATGAATGGCGCCTTGAGCAGATGTGCCATGAAATAGAAAGGGTAACCGAGCGGACCAAACATGACCAGGTCGAATTTCTCTTTCAAAAGCTCATCGACCTCCTTGCTCGCTAATGTGGCACGTGGACCCTCAGACATGAATGTTGCGTACTGCTTAAATCCAGCCTGGATGCCTTTTTCATTCATCTTAAACATGTTCGGCATGTTTTCGTCCGCATACAGCGTCGCAAGTTCATCCGGTACAACCTCCTTGATGCCTTTGACAGGAGTTGAAGGCTTGAACCCGTTGAAGAACACCACTTCATGGCCTCGGAATTGAGAGCAGTGCCCAATCCGTAGAATACGCCCTTTAGAGATTTCGCTCCGATGGGTGAGAACATCAAAATGCGGGCACTCTCGACACCGAAGACGGCGCAGAAGAGCAGCAGCAGAGCTCTCCCAGGAGACGCCTGAAAAGATCCAACACATGGCAGGTGAAGACGGCTGTGATGAATATGATAGATGTCAAGCGCAGACTACTACTCTATGGCGTAAGATATTCCACATGAGACACATGAGATTAGTCCAAGAGTCGATCGCCGTACGCAGGCTAGACGGCGTTTCCGTGGGTTTTCTCATGGAGTTTCCGTGAGACAAAACCGTACGCACGTTTCCGTTGGGGCGCTAGCGCGAGTTATTTGGCATTGCCAAAATGTGTGAACGCAACGTCCAAAAAAGGTAGCGTTCTGTTGGCTCATAACTGAGCTAGAACTGTGAAAGACTGACGTGTTGGTAACATTGGAAACCTCAGCCAGACATGAGTGCAACGCTAGGGAGTCAAAAAAGCTCTCCTCCTCTGTCACCCTTTCTTACAGTCCACATAAAACTCCCATCCCCTTCCGTGTGTTATGTGAGTTATGAATGGCCCAAAACAGAAACAACCGCACATAACCAAAATAAAAAGCTATCATATGCGCCTATGCATGCGCGGCACGTAACGTTAGCATTTCCGCCAGCCTTAACTCCCTTGATCTTCGTGTTACAACGTTAAGGCCATATCAAACACAGGTTGCTTTTGCGCTCGACTGTAGATACCTTACAGGCCGAGGATGTTAACAGCAGTTTTTAGTCACGTTTGCTGGGCTGATGCAAACGTGGACTTGATCTGTTTAGACCAGGCGTTTTTTCTCTAGTATTTATGGGGCGGTGGCTCCATCGAACGATGCCAAGGTCTGATTCGCTCTCACCCACCCAGTGACCAGATTCGTCAGCTTCACGGAGTACACCAACACCAACTCCACGGAGTACGCAGACCTGTGGGTAGACTTATTTTGTGGTTTTCGGTGCCTAGGTCTTCACCTTTGCTCAAAACAAAGCCAAACAAGGTCAAACTCTACATCGGGGCCCGAAATGTCTCCAGACCTTCCGATATAACCACCTTTAACCTAGATATGTTTCAAAATATTATTGACCTGGGACATTGTAAATGCAAAAAGACAAAATACAACACGCTTGCTTGTATTCAACGTAAGCTTTCGAGACAATTTATGCCGTCTGCAGCCTTAGTCAATGATATTCATGAAAACAGATTTTGGTCGCATCACGAAAAAAGCTCGAAGTAACATGCCACCTAATTTACCCACTCCTATTATGCAACAAAACAAAGATAGATGACCGGTTTTACATTTCACACGCAGATAAACAATGCAAACCGTTAATGAAGAATACATGCGACGCACCCACAATTTCGATACGATTTCAGCTCATTCTTCTGAATGTTACGATGCTACATGACAGCTAACTGTCACGGCGCATACCTCTTAAACGTGTGCATAGTCATTCCACACTTCGGAATCGATTCAATAATGGCGCATATGACATCGCAACAGTAAAACAAGATAACACAAAGGTGCACAAGTGCTCTGGCCCCAGGCCTGTTATCACGTCCCATATTACGCAAGGCCCCTGACCGACTGCTCTTTTTCTGCTCTAGTCCTATCATTTCAAAATTATATTTCCAATCGCTATCGTTACCCCCGGTTTTGCATTCCAAGGTTTGTCTCTGGTTGTTCTAGAAATGAAAATACCCTCCTTAATCTTTCTTTTTCTCCAGTTTGTCTTATAATGCAAAATCGCTCCTGCTCTCCTCTCACGCGCTGCGATAACTCGTGTCCAGAACGTGCTTCGATAAGCCGGAATGGTTTATATCTGCGTTTTATATCGCTCACTGGTGTTCATCCCTTCTGGTCTTTAAGCTTCCACACGTCGCTACATCATTAACCTTGCTGCATTCGCATATGCATCGGTGAGTTATTTCTATCTTTTGGTCCGCTTTAACTTGACTTTGTGCCGAGCTAGGTAACTTCTAAGGTTTGCATACGGTTTGGCGGCTACACGAGCGTGTGGCTTTAAAAGCCGCGTTGCCTTCTGCTACTCCTTTCACGTAAGATAAAGTCACGAAGGGCCGATGTCTTCTGATGCGTTTTGTGTTCTTACATGATAACGCTTTTGCAAAACTTTTTTAAAAATGTTTTGCGTACTTATTGAATTTCAAAGCTTCGTTAATGTACCTAGCCTCTTTCCAATTTCTGTCGGGCCTTAATGAAAATATTTGCGCTCGTTGTGCGGGCGATCTAACCACTGACTCGTGTTGGTTGCTATGATGTGGCATGAATTGCATGTGCTTATTCGTATGGCCCACCTTCCTAAACACTTTTGTGCTAATACTGCTGTCTCCTGATCATGACATTAACATGTTAGGAAAAGCAAGAGAGTCATTCGCCTCCATCGCTTTGGTGAATTTGATACCTAGGCACGCGTCGTTCCAGTCCCCAGGGATAGCTCTGGAACATGGTGCTCTTTTAAAACGGCAGTCGTGTCGTCTACAACATCCTCCATAACTTGACCTAATGAGGAAAAGCGTCCAAAGCCTGTCGTTCCAGATTATCCACAAACGAAGTGGTTACCACCATGCTGACAGCAATTCCTACCGCCGTAAAATCGCCGTTTATCTGCAAGTAGGTGGTAGCAAGGCCAGTGCGTAAAAACCGAGTATTGCCGTTTACTTTCATCTCGGCTGGTACTTTACGATTCTATTCTCGCTGCTCATCTCGTGGATTAATCGTTCTATCGTTTCGTAAGCCTTTTCAGGGGGAATCGATGCGAAAAGGCACACTGCATCACATACCATAGCTTCGTCTGCCGCTATCTTCAAGGTGTGAATGAAAGCACCAAAGTCTTTGGAGTGTTTGATATAGTGCTCTGTGTAATGAGGAGTCCCATAGAGGGCGATAGGTCAGACAAGTTGTACACGCGTGCGTTATCTTGCTTTGTCGTTGCATCATGCCGTATGCGTTGCTGCTCAATCGGTTCCGAAATGTGGAACGACTATCCACACGTTTATAAGGTATGTGCAGCGACACTTAGCTGTCATGTGACGTCGAAACATTCAGAGGAAACGCATCAAAATCGTATCGAAATTTGGGAGTCTATTGCATGCGCTCTTTGTCAAGAGTTTGCACAATTTATCTGCGGATGAATGTAAAACGGGTTATCTTATATACTTTTGTTACCTAAGAGGGATGGGTACATTAGATTGCGTTTGAATTTCTAGGTTTTTTTCTTGAAGCACACCTAGATCTACTCTTCTGAATATCGTTTTCTGACCAAGGCTGAAGAAGGGATAGAGGTTTTCTCGAAAGCTCCCGTTAAATACAAGCAGGCTGGTTGGAATTTTATCTTTTCAGATTTAACCTAGATGCCTCTTCCAAGCAAAAGTTTGCTGATATTTATTGCAGGTTTATTAACTTGCTTGCCCTGCTGAGGGTCACGGTAACAACAAGAACCCACGAGGTTGTTTTGATCTTTCAAATTGAATAAGCTTCAAGGATTACGCTAGGTGGTATGTTCCAAAATATATAGAGTTGATCGGTGTCATTTTAGGTCGTTAACCTCTTCTAGCTACCCTGAGGTCCAGACGAGATGTACGGTGAGGTCTATGTGATCAAGAAATTTGAAATGAACGTTGACAATTATCCCCTCATGCAAGTTGTCCAGTTAAAAAGACTGTTAAGTTTTGCCCATTGCTTGACATTAACAACTGACCCACAGCCAATGGAATTGATCATAACTGTAAATTAAATTGTGTATCTAAGAAATCATTTCAAAGATGAATTGCTCCGTCTCATAATCCGCTGTTGCGTGGGGTTGGACAATTCCTTAGTTTATTGTCGCTGACAGCATGATTTGACTTTCACATCCCAAAGGTCAGCAACCTTTCAAGGTACGTCTAACTTTAGTGCCAAAAAATCGGATATTCCATTGCCTGCGACTATGCAAAGTTTAACTCGGCTTCGCCGGGCTATTCGGAAGTTACTGTCAGAAAATTTCGAGGACAGGGAAAAAGTACCTCCATTACCCCAGTGCTGGTTAATGCTCGTGGTAACACGACACCGTACTTCGGAACAACACCAGAATACGACGCACGTACCATGTTTGAGGCCGATGTTCCGTCCCACTGTCGTCGCCAGGTGTCACATCGCGTCTGTAGCGCGATAACGAGGACGCCTGATGCCGATAGCGCATGCGCAGTGTGAACAGTGGAACGGGACGGAGTCCCGATGAGACGGCACATTGGCGCGCCTCGTACGTAAGGAGTCGCATAGTAGGGTTGCGATTCTGTACTTTTGCCACCTGTATGAACGTTATAGTGTGTCTTGAACAGACGTTTTCTCGAGAAACGAAACTGGCACTTTCATTTTGTTTATGAATCATCCAAACCAGTAGATTTTTATTTTTATTTAACACCAATGGAAAAAACGGTACTAAAGTAACTGCAACAACGCGACCATGTTTTGAGAAAAATGAGGGATATGTCCACCGCCCAGCGGACCCATGCCGACACGTCATCCCACCCAGCAGTGTCCAGCCTTGGGAGTAATCGATCCTTGCCAACAAACGATCATGACCTGACCCAAACTGCACTCGCAGCCAACCGCTTCGGTGCGTGCGATCGGCGGCTACCGTTATTTGAAATGGCTTTTAGGTGGACATCAAATGTGTTCCAGAAAATGACAAACACTTTGTGGTTGATCCCGAGAAAATATGGCGAGTTAACCACGCAGCTCGGCAGCAAGAGGGCATCGAGCGTGCAAACAAGGTGTTTGGCGTGAGACCACGCGCATTGCAACTCAACTGAGATATATGCGAGCACAATACAGTGTGTACATGCTGTGCGATGTAGTACACGATAGCATGCTAGGTAGTTAGGCCCACACCAAAAACGTTTTTGATGTGCTTCTGCCACCAAGAACAAACGCCCAGTAACACAAAAGGGTTAATTTTGCACCGGATAGCATAAGCTCGCAACAGCAGCGTACCCCGCTTTCTCTCGAGCATAGCAGCAGGCTTGCTAAGGATAAAAAATATACTAAGCATCCTCTCTAACATGCATTTTCCTCCATTATGGATCACAAACATAAAACCACACGTACGTTGCAGAAGGTGAACTGTGACACCGCAGTGCAAAATAGTTTGCACCATGATAATGAGCTTGTGAACTACTTCAAGGCCAGGTTTGAAGAGCATTGTAATAGTTTGATGTTGAATGTGAATAGGACTAAGTGTGTGAGCTGTTTTCACCTGCGTGACGCAGCAAATAGCTCATCTGTGATCGCAGTTGTCTGCAGTTGGACGTTACTATTCACTTCACAGTTGGAGGAAGAGGGGGAGCAGCATTGCTCGCCGTTCTCGCCACCGGCTTATCAGTGCGTGTATTGGGGATGAGTAGGAGACATCAGTTATTATCGGAAAACAATGCCGGTGCACGTGGGTGACAGCTCGCAATGAACGTGCGTAGTGCGCAGGCGTAACGTTGACTGTGAGGATTGCGTTCCGAACGTGATGACAAGCCGCAGGCTGCCGCTATCAGACGTGTTCGTTGATCAGAGTTTCTACATGCCTGGGCGTTGGCTGCACATGTCATGTTGCTCCGAATCGGAATACTCTGTCTCATCGTCGATCATTCGTCCACGAGTAATGCTTTATGGATCATATATTTTGGCGAAAATTTGTAATGATCCCGTTAAAGACACGCTCATTAGACTTTTTTTACCACGCAGATGTAATTTTATCGATCTCATGCACAAATTTGGTAAAGCAAAGCAAGCATCCAAATATTAAATGTCAGACCGCTGCAGGGCGGCATTAGAAAGTATATGAGCTTAACAAAAAGTGCATGGGACGATTGTTCAAATACTATTCGTGAAGGCCTGGATCATAAACCATGTGATCAGTCAACTAGAGGCGACATATAACACTACCCAGCTCACTGTCCAACTCCTTGATCTCCACTTATGCGGTGCGCAGTCTCCTCCTGACTACGGCAATCGCTAATGTCTTCTCAGTCATTCTGTCTGGGCACACTGGCTAGGCACACTCGCCGCAATCCACGACCAACGGGCACTTGGAGATATATTTGTCAGCGCATGCAGCTACCACATGTAGCTAATGACGACCCAGGACTTCCGTACGCGCGCACGGCAAGTGGGTGGTAAACACGGATTGACGAAGCCTTTAAATGAAAGCCATTAACTGTGTTTAAGTATGCTAACTACAGACACGTATCGAGCTTTGTTTAGCTTGCCAATGCGTGTTCTCGCAACACCCATGATGTAGCCCGGCTGCTGCTAACCAAAAGTCTGTTTGGTTGCGGCAACCTAATGCTGGTCTCATATGCATAAAGCCATTAAATAGTATGCTATATCAAACATTATTGTGGAATAAACGCAAGCCGGACGAATCAACGCACGTAATGAGAGTGTTCCACATGTTTAATTGGCATCATGTAGCCAAGATAGCATGTAGACAGCCTCGATGTGCATACACACCTGATGACAAATCAACTTGTCAATGTCGAATAGGCAACCGCCATTCTTTCCGATACTTGTACTACAGCACTTGTGGGCACGCTGTAAAGATGGCATGCAGCTAGTCACGTTTGAACCGTTTGGTTTTCGTTTGCGCCGGACCTGTCTTCCGCCTGCACAGACAGCGGCAGCAACACTTGCCCAGTGCCACCAGCAGCTTCAGCACCAGCACCAGTACTGCCAGCAGGAAGGCGACCACGTCGAGCGAGTAGTATTGGAAGAAGTTGAGGTCGGCGCCCACCGACCTGAGGTGCGGCGCGCCGCCGTGCCGGATCACGTGCTCCACCCAGTGCACGGCCAGGTCACGGGGCGGCACCGGCTGAGAGGCCAGCAGCTCCTGGCGGTAGCGGGACGCCGCCCGGTGCCCGGGAGACATGGCGGAGCGGATGGCCGCCTGCAGCGTCTCAGACGTCAGGCTCTCCCACGTCAGGATCTCCGCCACGCCAAGATCAACAGCGTGAGCCGCGTTACAATGCTGGTCTACCGTCACTGGCATGGCCACCATGGGAACGCCATGACAGAGAGCTTCCAGAACGCTGGCAAAGCCGCCGTGCGAGATGAACAGCCTGCACTTGCTGTCACCCAGGATGTCCTGCTGTGGCAGCCACTTGGACGGCAGGATGTTGGCCGGTATGTTGGCGCGGTCTGTGGTGTCCCACTTGAGCAGGACCTTGAACGGCATCGCACCGAGGGCGTTGAGCACAGCCGAGCGTTGGCCCGCAGACATGTCCTGAGGACGTACCACGGAGCCCAGACTGAAGAATATGTACTCTGAGTCGCCGAGGAAGCTGGTCAGCTCCTTGGACAGGGGCTTCGCGTCCGCACAATGCAGTCCACCCACCTCGATGACATTGGGCAGCAGCGGCTTGTGGTAGTCGATCATTGGGTTGCTGTTGAGTAGGACAAGGCTGGCATTGCGTTCGATCTCTCTGGCAGGAGGAATCACGCCATCGCCGAACTTCGCTGCAACCATTCGTTCGACATGCATGGGGTACACGACGTAGAGCACAGTGTGCATTATAATATGACCCATAAAATTTTGGACTCGTTGCATAAAACCCATGCGATTAGTTGCCGCGATGAATGGAATGGTATGAAGGGCCGGAAGCGTAGGCGAGCCCAGCGGACTGGTGATTACAGGAAAATATGAAATCGAGGTCAAAATAATGAAAGGCGCTTTGAGCAGGTGTGCCAGAAAGTAAAAGGGATGACAGAAAACGCCGAAAATAACCAGGTCAAAGTTTTGTGTTAAAAGGTCATTGATTTCCTTACTCTCTAATGTAGCCCTCGGGCCATCGGAAAACAACGTTGCGAACTGTTTAAATCCGGCCTGCACGCCCACTTCGTGCAACTTGAACATGTTGGGAAGCTTGTCGTCCGCAAACACTTTCGCCAGTTTGTCCGGCACAACTTCCCTGATGCCTTTGACGGGAGATGAAGGTTTGAACGCGTTGAAGAACACCACCTCATGGCCTCGGGAGCTGAGAGCATTCCCCACTCCGTAGAAAATGTTCTTCTGTGATTTTCCACCGATGGGTACGAACATCAGAATGCGGGCACTCTCGACACCCACGACACCACAGAAGAGCAGCAGGAGGACTCTCACAGGAGACGCCTGAAAAAAATCCAACATATAGCAATAGCGGTGAAAACGGCCAGTCGGCAATATCAGATCAGATGCCAACGGTAGGCTACCGTCTCGTCGCACGATTCGTTCCTCATCGACACTATCCGCGTCACTTGTCACGCAACAGCGCATGAGGACCGGATCCTCGAGAGCTACGAAATCAATAGAGGTTGACACATTTGCCGCCACACATGCGCAAATCCCACGTGGTTTCCGTGTCACAAGACTGCATGTCTGATTTCCCGGAATCGCTATTAAGCGTTGTTTTATATTCTTGAGCCCAGTCACGTGTCACAGTCACCAGTTGGCAAATGACACCAGACAAATCGCTCACAAGAACAGAAACAGTATCCCACGCGCTGTGAACACGCAGCGCACAGCATAAACAATCCCGCCAAACCAGCATTATGTGCATGATCATTAAGTGTCAGTATTCAAGGGTCGACCCATGTTGAATAAAGTCTGTGCTTGCCCACGGCTATTTATGTATTGCAGGTAACGCAGGTGACGCAAAGGGAAACGAAGTACTGCGCCACTTTTACTGAGCCGATGTAAGCACGGGCCTGAGCCGAATGGACCAGGCCTTCTTTCTCCGCTACTTGGGGAACGGTGCCTCCATTAAGCTATATCTGCTCCGCCCTCACTCACTCCGCGACTAGTCTCCTTAGCCCCTGAATATGAAGAAGACTAAATTCATGGAGTAACGGAAACTGAGTAAGTTTGCCCGCACCTCTAGCGATTCACCTCTGCCCGAACCGATCCCCGGAACCAGAGGAGCTGAACCAGGCGGCCATTGGTTGCAACGCACCCTCCCCGCACCATTCTAAATTTGTAATGCATTAATATGCATTTGATAGAATCTTGACCATTAAAAACTCCTGTAGGTAAGTAAAAAGTAGATCGAAAGCATGCGATGCTGTTGTACGTCATGGAACAGGTTTCGTGCAGCTACGGGTCCTATCTAAGATTTTGAAATACTTGAGACATTGCGTTGCGTTGTAAAAGAGCTCAGTCTGCCCGGAGTGGCCACCGAACGACGCCGGGCAGGAAGCTGAGGCTGGCACCGTGTGCTGCCATCTACCGTGTGCGGGCGGAACCAGCGTCGGCGACCAGAGATGCCGATGGATTCACGACAAAGCTTAAAACGCAATTACTGCCACAGACTCAGCTTCCACGACATGACTCCGAGCGTGAATAGTTCTCTGCGACATTACTTCTAGGCGACAAATCTTCTAATACAAGATACCATACACGATATTACTTTCACACGACGAAGCTTCTTCCGCAATAACACGCGCGACATCACACCTCTAATACGAGAACTAGAAACGCATGCTGCTGCGCATCAAAACGCATTATGTAAGAACTACTAACGCGAATAGCTTCAAAGGGCTCCCATTGCCGGTACGGGGAGTGTGTTCCGAAGTCTGAACTTTAAGCATTCTCATCAACAAAGCTTCCTCACCGCCTCTGCCAGCTGCTTGTGCTCCGTTCTCCATATCGGGGTCCCCTGCCCACCACTACTGCCAGGGGCCCGTGACTGGTAGCTCTACTAGCAGGTCAGAATCGGGGATTGAGCTCTAGGTCAGTTCCTTTGTCGTCCAAGTGACGCTGCGATCTTCTCAGTAGCATTCTGAGTCCCTGGACTTATCCCAGTTTGGTCAATAGACCCACTGGTTTGTACGGCCCTGATTGGTAATCAGGGGAACCGCCTTGTTTAGTGCCACGGACCCCTAACCGACAGGGAAGCAATCTTACTGTCTCAAGGCAAGGGTATAGTTCCGCAAAATGGGTTTGGGGGATAGCTGAGTAATGGTAAATGACACAACCTATCCCAAAATATGCCAACAAACGTGGTTCTTCCCGGATTTTGGCTCCTTTTCTTCTTAAAGTTTGGAAAGCTGGGGCCAAATTTTGGAGTATGGGGGGTGGGTGTTAGGTTAAGACACTACATCTCTGTCTGAAGGTCACTTGAGCGACGTAGGCGGTTCTACGATCGATATTCCTGGACACGAATCCCCTCCTTATCCAGGTAATGAGCGCCGGGCTGCCACACAAACCTCAGTCTTGCACGATACAAGAGATTCTGTCAAGTCACTTTGGGGGACCCCAGGTTGAGAGAGGGGCTCCATTTTTTCTCAGTCTCGTAAGATACAAGATTCTGTCAAGTAACTTCGGGGACCCCAGGTCGAGAGAGAGGCTCCGCTTTGTCTCAAGGCCCCTCGAGTGGAGCAAGAGTAGGCCCCTTTACTGGAATTCGGGAACCATGGCTTTATTCGTCTTCCAGTACCTGGCCTACTGGTCGGCAGCAGGACCCCTTTGATTCCTTCAGGGTCCATGGGCTACGTCGGAAAAGGGCACCTGGCTGGCATTATGGGACCATGACTCTGTCTATTTCTCCGATGGGACCCTGACTGGTAGGGACACTGTCCGGTGCCGTGGCTCCTGACCGGGGGCCTCTCATTGTTTCACGTGTTCTCCTAGCGACGCAAGAGGAGTCATATTGATTGAATTCCGAGGGCGTGGCTCTGCCCCTGTTCGGCTGATGGGGACCCTGGCCGGCACGGAGCTACAGCACCTCACGGCTTGAGTTTTCAGGGTCCGGTCCAGTCCAGTCTGATTTGTCCAGACTCTTTCCGGAGCTACAGCACCTCACGGTTTGAGTTTCCAGGGTCCGGTCCAGTCCAGTCTGATTTGTCCAGACTCTTTCCGGAGCTACAGCACCTCACGGTTTGAGTTTTCAGGGTCCGGTCCAGCCCAGTCTGATTTGTCCAGACTCTGTCCGCCCACCAGTGCGGTTCTCCTAAATTCAGCAACCCAATCCGGTCCAGTCCAAGTTAGCACACAAATTTTGCAACTGAGTCCGTGTCAGTCCGCTTCCACATTAAGGACTTTAAACAATTGTAACAGAATGCTTGTTTTCTTAAGGTATTTTTAATCTAAGTTATTTACTAATTCGCACTGGACATAATGTGTATTAGGCTGCCATAACGCAGTGGGTGCTAAGATACTTAACACGGCTTGCCGCTTCTAGGGAATGCAGCTTTGCATGAGCCTCAGAACAAGATTATTACATTACAAGATAGCTCATCACATTATTAACAAGTCACAACCATCGCGGGCAATAAGTCACTAACACCACTATATTTCAGCCGGCGAGATCGCCTTTCGTTTCAATAACATAAAGACATGGGCACCTTATTTAACAATTCCAGACTACGCGTCAGGCACAACATACATGCGGTGCCATTCGATGGTGTCAGCGGTATCCAGTTCACATGCGCAGGCCGACGGCCGTCTAATATGTCCTCTGAATAAATACAACGACCCATACATGGTGGCTCATGTGTGTATCCGTTCTCGTATACATAAACTTACGAAACAACCCCAGCCGCGATCATTATTTTCTGCTGCATTACTTGCTGCGTCTGGACTGTAATCTACGCGCGTCGCTGTGTCACTGGTAAGCGCCTGCTCATTCATCCAGGAGAATGAAGCAATTGCGCCATTTTTGAACCCCATTGCTAAAATGACCAATGCTACCAGATCTCCCTTTTTTGCTCACATACTGAAAAAGTATGAAAGCCGTTTTGAATTGTAATCGTACATGGCACATCTGTATTAAATCACATGTAACCAATAGAAAGTACTTTTCCAGATAAAATGGCGATACAACGTCTCCTTTCATCCATTCGAGGTTATTACAGCACGTTAAGACGCGCTCGGTTGGGGGTCAAACTGACCCTCCAGAAGGTTTTTCCATAATGGTCTTTGAACGGCGCGGCGAAGCCGCGCCAAATTTTGCATAGTTGTGGACAATTAAATAACGGATCGTTTGGGTTAAAAAATATAGATGTACCTTGTAAGGCCGCTGACCTATGGCAGGTCAAAGCCAGGCCATGGTTTCAGCAAAGTCAATTTCTAGGGGATTGTTCATTCTCATGTAACAACGGAGTGTTAGACAAGGTCATACATCTCTGGGATATTTTATTAGCCAGCACAACAATTAAATGAACAAATTACATCGACCTAAGGTCAGGTCTAGATGTCAAACTAAGGTCAAAACCAACCTGTTTTTTTTACTCTAGGGCTAGCTGCACGGGGTAGTTTCTGGTGCTTATTTCTAATTGATTGGTAGCAGAAACCCCATTATACACATCTTCCATGGACTCCTAAAGGTCAGAATAGGTCACTCACCTGAAACAACCCAGGCCAAAATCTTGTTTTTGGGAACAGGCTGCCTAGTGTAATCTTTGTCGCTTATTCACATGCAAAACTCAAAGCAGTCTGGCATGATTTTGGCCACCATGACCTTCAAAAAGTCCAACAAGGCCACTGACCTTAAATGAGCGTGAGATCTGTTGCTAAGAACAATTAGATAGATTACACGGGCCCTTTGGAGACCAACCTGGAATATTTGACCTGGTTTGGTCTTATTTGGCCCGAAGGTCATGATCTACGAAACTTAAACTTTGTTTTAATTCAGTTCATGCACAAACAAAAACACCTGATGAATTTGGTGTCTCTAGTTTTCTTAGTTCCTGATATCTCAGGGGAGACAAATTGACCCTCCCCCCCCCCCCACCCCACCCCCATCCCCACACCTGAGCGAAGGTTATCGAACCGGCCACCCGGTCGCATATTAAGAGGTACCATAAATGTTTTATTAGATGGCGTGGCGTTTTAGCCAAAATGTATAACGTCTCTCGTGCGCTACGAGTGTCACTGATACAGAGATGTAATCCTCACGCATTCACAAAACGTGGTGCGAGGGTTAGGTATATCTCGCCAATTACCCGACATCTGTCACGACTGCTGGTACTTTGACATCTCGGATACATGCTAGCCACTGGCCAAGGGCTCTGATGATCGCACAAGCTACCCCAGATCTCACCAATTTTTTGGTGGTATGAATGGACGGTCTTGGGTGGCTTGTTCAGCCACGTTAATTTTCTAGCTTTCTGTGGTAAGTGTCTCCAACCTTCTATATAATTACAGAAGAATTACAGGTGGGATGCCAAGGCATTGTTGGTGTCCAATTTGTGCACTGGTTGTGCAAGTGGGAGTAGAAAAGATGGGCCATAATAGTACATGCTTAATGCCAAAGCGTCTGGCTGAATGAAAAGAGAGCCTAACTCACATCAAGCAACTAACTGCTGGGAGAGAGCTACCTTTGATACCTGGTGGTAGAGGACAACATGCTCATTCTTCGGGATGCGTTGGTTTGGGAAGGGTATGAAGAAAATGATCTGTATGGCGGACGTCCACAAACCTGTCTGCTTGCCTACAATGTAAGCGACAGAAGAACATTTGGAAGGCTCTCCTTGTGACACAGAATGCAAGTTCTGCTTGTACCCACGAAAGAGATATGCGACGAGTTTGGAAGAGAAAATACCTTACAACACGTACCTGCAATTTGTTAAAGCAGCAAAACGCATTCCCACTGGTGAGCACCATCTATCAGCTGGTTGGTTGTCTCACGGATGTAGCCGTCTCCGGGTTTCCTCCGACTCCTTCCACGCGAGACACCCCCGTTGGATTTGCATTGGCGTACAAGACAGGCCCGTATGCAGCGTGAAGGAAGCGATTTTGGTGACTTTGGCGGCCGTGTTTCGAGCGCAGCGCAAAAAACATGGCAATGGCAAAACGAGGCTGAAGTTTTGTGACCGTGAGAGAGGGAGGATGGCTGCTCCATCACGGAGGTGTGCAAGATGTGGCTATAAAGTTTGCAGATTTTGAAGTGAAATTCGGAACTATGAGGGGCATCAGATATCTGTACATGGTGGTAGTACCGTGGTCCTAATGAATGCTGCTTTTGGAGTTGGTGGCAGATGGCGCAAGTGGGTGCGGGGAACTGCTGGTCAGTTATCAGATAATAATCATTTCAGATACACTGACGTTATTTCAGAAAACGGCGCTGGTTGGCACCATCTGTCGTTGCTGAGTGGGTCCGAGTGGACGCTTTGAATTGCCTTGTTTGTTATGAGCACATAAACAGATGTTTTACCTTCGAGTAGCCTGTGCCGTCAATGAACGTGGCGTGTGGTTCTAATGAGCATTGTTCTGTCCCGTATGTTATGCTTGAACATAGCCAGTCAGCATTTTCAGCAAATTATTTGTTTAAAATGCATCATAGGTTTAGAAAATATCAGATAATTAAAATGTATTATTTTTTCCGCTGTGTTGCCACCATTTTCTTATTTAAGGTCACAGATCGAATTAAGAAAAGCTATTGTGACTGGTCCGTACATATATAAGTGTAGTTATGATGGCATTGTTGTTAAGATTTCAAAGAAAATTTACCCACTATATTGAGTTGCCCTGATCTTTTTTCATTTGCAAGTTGCATTTGGACGATTTGACAGTTAAATTACACGCTCGCGTTGTTAACTCTTCTCTTGAAAATGATGAGAGAAGAGACAGGGAACGCACGAAAACAAGGCATTATCATTTGAGAACTACTTTGAGTGACGCAAATTGCGATGAGACAGGTGCATATTCGCGGGTATCTTGAAGAAGACAGCTCGGGGAGTTAGCGCACATTTGCTGTGAGGATGCAGTAATCTTGTTCTGGCAGACACCTGGAAGCGGATCAGACGAAGCAGCGTACTTAATTGAAGCCGGTGTTTCAATTTTGGCTGAAAAACTCAAATTTGGCTGATTGACTAAGTGGACAGAAACCATAGTAGTGCCATGGAGTTAATATTTTTTTAAAATTATCAAACAGAAGCTAGGATATCATGGCTCTGTGGTGTGTTTTGTACCAACAAAGTATGCTCTGGTCTAATTTTTCAACTCTGAAATGCGATGTCATCCACTGGGGTTAAATAGGATTGCTGTAAAGATCAGGAGTAATGGTAGTTCCGTGATGATCAAAGATGTTAGTATATTATTGGATAATTCCGTTACTTTAGAAGGCGTGCGAGCTCTAGTTTTCCGTGGTAGCATGTATGAGTGTCACTCACTCATGTCAAGTTGTCAATGTGATCTGTTCACCAGAGAATTTGGTCGCAGAAAATGTGGCTGAATTATGTACTATATAGGCGGCATTGTTTTAGTTGGAAATATTTCATTTCAGTTGTTTTAAGATACTTTCTGGTTGATATCTCCATGGAGGAGTTCAGGGACCATTCAGTGATAACTTCCATTTGATTGGTATTTAATCAATTCACTCTGTTAAGTAACAAATCTAAAAATCCGGTTCGGTCCTAAGACATGTTTTTGATGGAAGTTTCTGATCCGGTCCAGTTCGGGTCCGCGGATTGTTCCACAATCCGTAAATTGATCCTATCCGTGGAGTGCTCTGGACAGAACCCCTGTTCAATCCCGTGGATCTACGGAGCCCCGGTTCAGTGCCGTGAATCCCTGTTGAGAACTAGGGATCCACGGCGACTGAGCAGGTCCCCAGTTCAGTCCCCTGCTCAGTACCCCGGGCTCTTTGGCCGATGGAGGGACCCCTCAATGAACCAGAGGCCCTTGAGCAACGCCGGAGGAGGCTGGTCTTGGTGATGTTCGGCATGAGTAGCTACCCAGCACCTGCCCCCTGTTTAGTATCGGGGTCACCTTCTCAGTTCCGGGAGCTCTGGCCGACAGGTGGGTTTGCATAATGCTGCACAGACACTAAAACCCCCAGTCGGCTCTTCGAGCCTGAAGGGTCCGCCGAGGGACACCGATCCACGGAGGGGCTACGGACCCCAGAGCCTCCTTGCATCTGCACCCGGCTGGCATGACGTCGCTGGGTTCAGCAGCTCAAGAGATGCTGTCATACGCCACCTATACCATGTGGCTAGCTAGGCATGTATCAGCATTTAAACTAAGCGTTTCAAACTATGTACAGTAACTTTAGCATGAAACATTTTTAAAATTTGAAATAATTCACATGACAATTAATCGCAGGCACTGCACGTGCACAGATGTGGCTCATTGGGACATACGCCGACGTGTATAAGTTATAAGTACATTTATCCTTAGAGGAACCGACTAGTGTTGTTGACCCTTAACACGAGCTCGGGTGGGGGTCAGTTTGACTCTCCCTCCCCCCCCCCCCGAAGGTTTTTCCGGTGCCAAATTTTGCATAGCTGTAGACAACTGAATAGCGAATCTCTTGCTATTACAAATTTAGATGCACCTTGTAAGGTCGCTGACCTACGGCAAATCAAAGTCAGACCATAGATTCAGCGAAGTCAACTTCTAGGGAATCGTGCATTCTGTTGCGATAAAAGAGCGTTGGACGAAGCCATACATCTCTGGAATACTTTATTAGGCAGCACAACAACTGAATGAACGAACTCCATTGACCTATGGTCAGGTATGAATGTCAGACTAAGGTCAGAACCGACTTCTTTTATTACTCTGGAGCTTACAGCATGTAATAGTTTATCGTGCCTGTTTCGAATCGATTGATAACAGGAACCGCATTACACATCCTTCATAGACTTCTTAAATGTCACGATAGGTCACTGACCTAAAATGACCCAGGTCAACATTTTGTTTCTAGAAACATACCGCGTAGCGTCATCTTTTTGCTTATTCGAATGTAAAACGCAAATCAGCCTTGTATTATTTTGGTCACCATGACCTTCCAATGGTCAAACAAGGTCACTGACCTTCGACGAGCATGCGACCTTTTCTTTAGAACAGGTATGTTTTACCTCGTTGACCTGACTTGATGCAAAGGGCATGACCTATGAACCTCAAAATTTGACCTAGGTAAGGTCACGAACATACTAAAACACTCGTGAATTTGGTGTTTCTAGCTCCCTTAGATTATGAGATCTCAGTTGATCCCCCTGCACCCGAGCGAAGGGTATTCAGCTGGCCACACGGGCGCGTGTTGAATGAAAAGCAATGACAGGAAAGAAGCATAGGAGTTGTATGTTAGAATTTACCGCCGGGTAGAAGCAATGTCGTGCACAGGCTTACGTTGTGATTTAACCGCATAACATAAAATGCGCTGGAAACTTTGCATTAGGGTTTATGTTGTGCACGAGGTTTTTCGTCAGATATTTTGTCGCGTGAAAGGAATTCCGCGTGGAACTTCCGCGTTAAAGATTTGTCGCGTAGAAGTGCATACTTTAGAAGTTCTTGCATTTGGAGCGATGTCGCACACAAGTTTTTTTTGCCCTAGAAGTTTTGTCGTGTGGAAGTAATGTCGCTTAGAAGTCTCGCAATGGCAGTTTGTCAAGTTGTTTGTGCGCCAGAAGTTTTTGTGTTAGAAATAATGTCGCGGAGACGTTGCTGAGCTATAAGACTTGTTATCAAGAAACAATGTCAAGTAGAAGTTTTTGCGTTAGCAGCTTTACCGTGTAGAGTTGACACGTTATAAGTTTTTGCATTAACACGCGCTCGGGCGGGGGTCAAATTGACCCCTCCCGAAGGTTTTTCTAGAATGGTTTCCGAACGGCACGGCGTAGCCGCGCCAAATTTGCATAGCTGAGGACTATTGAATATTGGATCGCTTGATACCAAACATTTAAGTAGGCTTTGTTAGGTCGCTGACCTATAGCAGGTCAAAGTCAGGCCATAGTTTCAGTGAAATCAATTTCTAGGGAATCATTCAATCTGATGCAACAACGGAGTGTTAGACGAAGCCATACATCTCTGAGATGCTTTCTTAGGCAACATGAATACTGGATGCACGAGTGACGCTGACCTTAGGTCAGGTATGAGGGTCAGACCAAGGTCAAAACCAACCCGTTTTATTACTCTAGGGTTTGCTGAATGGGATAGTTTCTGGTGCTCATTCGAATCTATGGTTGGCAGGGAACCGCATCATGCATCTTTCATGGACTTCTTAGAGGTCAGAATAGGTCATTGACCTAAGATCACTGGGTCAACATTTTGTTGCTAGGAACATACTTCCTAGCGTAATATTTGTCGCTTATTCAAATGCAGAACTCAGTGCAGTGTTGTATAATCTTGGTCACCATGAACTGTAAGAGGTCAAACAAGGTAACTGACCTTAAATTAGCTTGTGAACTCTGGCTTAGAAAGAGTTATCTAGGCTTGGGGGCACTTTAAAGACCAACCTGGAATTTGACCTTGTTTGACCTTATTTGACCTGAACACTGTAAATTTGGTGTGTGTCTAGCTCTCTTAGTTCCCGAGATCTCAGGGGTCAAATTGACCCCCACCTCACCCGAACGAAGGGTATCCAGCCGGCCACCCGGGCGCGTGTTAAGGTGGTGTCGCGAAGAAGGCTTGAGTCAGAGGATCATGCGTTATATATTATGCTGTGTACAAGTTAAGGCATAAGAAATTCCTAGACTGGAAGAAAATGTTGCGTAGAGATCGTGTCGTGGAAATTATGTAGTTAACAATATTTGTGCTAGCAGTTTTGCCGGTACAACAATGTCGAGGCGACTGGTAGACCTGACCGCTCCCACCGGAGGCTTTTTTAGCTCACTAGCCAGTCAAGCTACATGAAATGGCAAAAAAAAATGGATGCGTCTGTTTGTAGATCACACAAATAGCTCCGATTGTGCATAACCCACTACGGTTCACATGTGGGCTGCGTTCCGCGCTCCCCCAAGAACTATGCTCGGAACCGACACATCACATGTACCTTATCAAATGTGCTAACACAACCTCATACACCAGAAGAGCGCCAAAATAAGACACACGTACCATGGCTGGGGGTGATGTTCCGTGTCAGGCGTCACGTCGCGTCTGTCGGGCGGCAACGAGGACGCCCGCGACCGACGGCGCATGCCGCAGTGCGCGCGCGTCAGGACAGTCGTGGGCGGCGTCTTGATGAGTCGGCAGATTGGGGTCATTCTAGAGGTCATGTAGAACGCCGCTTTCCGCGTAGTTAAGGGTGCGTGTCCAGCCTGTTGGCGGCATCACACATGTCCCTCTCCTCTATCGACGCAAGCTCCAACTACTCAGATTCCATGTGCGAGCAGCTAGCAGACCTACACAGCCCACTTTCAAAAAACTAACAATATAACTCCACCACGCAACAAGCGTTACTCAATCAGCGCCGGTGTATCCCAAGCATTTCCAACTCCCACAGATCTATAAGTTCCTCGTGCCCTCGCTCCGTCCATTCTGACTGGACACTCCAGCAACAGTTTTGTTGCTATTTACGCACCACAAAAAAACGTACCGTCACAAATACGAAGGTGCAGTCATGGTTAACGAAATTTTGGAACAAACATAAGATGACGCATATGTACATATATATTATATTATATCTTATATTTCATATAGTGTACATATATATGTGTATAAGTATATATATATATATATATATATATATATATATATATATATATATTACGGAGCAGAATGTCCTCGAGACATGCTTGGAGACGCACACGAGGACATGAGACATGTTAAGATACCGGCCATAGCTGTGTGCCTGTGTCCAAAACTGCAGTGTCTGTAATGAATTTCCACAGTTTTCCGTTCTTTGAACAATTCAGATTTTTTGCCTTTACATTTTGCACCTGGAAATATTTACTGCCCAGTGCAAAACGCCCACCAGAAATCTGATTCTGGATGTCTTGTCTTTTGATCTGGGTTGCGTGGGTGTCGGGGCAATGTCCATGAAAACGGGGCCGTTCTTTGCGTTGTTGATCGACTATTTCGTATCTAGGGCGCTGACACTACTTTGTCATATGACCCCTATATTAAGTGTTACGACCCTGTGACATGTACTTCCAGCCCTTGATGGTTGGTAAGTGCTACTCACCAAACTATCCTGGAATGAATTCAACAAAAGATTCCTACAACAATCTTACTTGAGGCTTTATTGATATAATCACGTAGCATAGTATTAGATGGCTTGTCAATCGCCCTATAACATAATCATTACCCCTGATAGAAATTAGGTCAGCGCCCTTCTCCCTAACGTGCTTTTTTCTGAACATACCTCTCCGACATGTCCTGCAATCGCACCCAAATTTCAGCAGCCTCTGGAGCATCCATTGCGCGAGTTATTACACAACAATTGAGTCCCTGGGATTCCTGATCTCTGAAAAACGACGGTTTTTAGGAGTACTGGACAGAGATCCACGGCCGGCCTGGGCGGAGGGCGCCAAACGACGGCTCCGCGGACCGCGCGCGGCGGGCAACAATCACGTTAATGGAGCCCTCCGTGCAAAATATGCACTTATAACACAAAACGCTGCATACAATCCTGCTTAGTGTAAATCAAAGAACGCGCCTGTAATATCGTGCCATTATGGGACACGGTCCCAAACATATGAGCATATCAAGCTAAAAACTTCGATTTTCAGGAAATTTGGCCTTCAACCTGTCTATTGTCGTCAGTCATTGTTTTGGTGACATCAGATTTGTTACCAGGATTGAGTTCTAGTTGAGACCAGTCCATTGCGCTTTTTTGTGACGTTCTATTCTTTCATGGTTTCGAAATGGCACGGGTTTGCATGCCCCTCCCCCCCCCCCTCTCCTACCCCACATTAGCCCGCGTTACGAAAAACTTTTTTAATAGGGCGTTGGCTGGTGGATGGGCCATGGTGTTTGACATGCTCGTCGTGTAGTTCAGATTTACACCCGGAACAATTTATTGGCATTACCCTGACACCTATAGGCAAGGTGATGTATAAAGGAAACCCTGCAGAGATGACTTGATGAGTCATATTGCATGCATGCCCATAGTGACGTGCCTGAGAATAGCTTGATGTTGAAAATCTGACATCAACCCAATAGTACTGATAGGTAAAACCTATCTTGCCACCAAGTTCACAAGAGATCCAACATCACCATTAGCTGGGTGTTTAAGTGGATGAGGTACGTTAAAGACAACATGAGAGGTCTTGCAGGACTCCCAGATGGCACCAACCACACTGTGTCCGGACAAAAATGTCGGCTCGCAGTTTGCTGAATGCTTTTTTGTCAACTGCTATATACCGACCTCCATATTGGTGACATGTAAAATGTCGACGTGCCAAGAAGTTGAATTGACAAAATGATGAACTGCAAAATGGAGCCATAGAAGAATGGCGACATGCCGAAATAGCGAACTGTTAAATGACGGATTACAAAATAACAAACGTTTAAATGCCGTTGAGCCGCTTACGATTTCATGTTTCAGCTAATAGTGATGAGGATAAATTGGTGACATGCTAGAATGACGAAAAGGCAAATGACGGCATGAAGAACGACAAGCTCAAGTGGCAACAAAAAAAAGCACGAGATTTTCCAAGGACTACGCGGAATGGGTAAGTACTATTCGATATTTTATGAGAGCTGCGTCAAGTGCCAATGATTCTGGTTACCGACCAACATGGACGAATTTCATATTGGCGACGTGTAAAACAGCTGACGTGCCAAACAAAGTCAAAAAGACGAAATGGCGAATTGCAAAACGGCAACATGTCCAAAAATCCGAAAGGCGACATGACCGAAAAAAAGGGCCACATATCACAAAGTCGACAAAACCAAAATGGTGAATTGCAAAACGGTGGCACGTAAAAAAGATAATATGCCAACTTCGCAAACGGCTAAGGGTGATTTGTTTGCAGAGAATGTTCCGCACACATGAAGATGTTAGGAGCAAACTTCAGATATGATGGAAAAGGCTCACTTGTAGGTATCATAAAAGACTCGCCGTTAACTATTGGTATCATTTAAGTACAAATACCACTTTGGGCAAGAAATGACTAATTAGTCCTAACTACTCCACCAGAACTAGTTCTGGCGTTCTTTATTGGAGCACCATGGACTGCAGTGACTATATCAACTCTCAGGAGGCATGGCGCAACCGGGGATTTGAGCCCGGAATCCCCACGTGGGAGTCCGGTGCACTAACCACCTTTGCTATCACGCAATGTTTGCTTCTTAACACCGCGCTCGGGTGGGGAGTCAAATTGACCCCTCCCCGAAGGTTTTTCCGGAATGGTTTCCGAACGGCGCTGCGTAGTCGCGCCAAATTTTGCATAGCTGTAGACAATTGAAATAGCGGATCGTTTGGCATCCAAAAATTTAGATGCTACCTTGTAAGGTCGCTGGACCTGTGGTAGGTCAACGTCAGGCCATGGTTTCAGCGAAGGTAATTCTAGGGAATTCTTCAATCTGATCCAACAACGGAGTGTTAGTCGAAGCCATACATCTGTGAGATGCTTTATTAAACAACACAGCGCTTTGTATGAGCAAATTAAATTGACTTAAGGTCAGGTATGAACGTCACATAAAGGTAAAAACCAACCTATTTTGTTACTCCTGGGCTTGCTATATGGTATAGTTTCTGGTGCTAATTTCGGGTTTATTGATAGCAGGAACCGCAATTATGCACCTTCCATGGGCTTCTTAGAGGTCAGAATAGGTCATTGATCTAAAATGACCCAGGTCAACATATTGCTTAAGGAACATTCTGTCCAACGTAATTTTTGTCGTTTAGTCAAATGCAGAACTCAAAGCAATCTTGTATGATTTTAGTCACCTTGACCTTCAAAAGGTCGAACAAGTTCACTGACCTTGAATGAGAATGTAACATTTTGCTTAGAAACGGTTATCTAGGTTCTGTGGGGCACTTTGAAGACCAACCTGGAGCTTGACCCTGTTTGACCTTTTTGACCCGAAGGTCATGACCTAAGAACCTGAAACGTTAACCCAAGTGCATTCACGTACAGGTCAACACATCCTGTAAATTTAGTGCCTCTAGCTTTCTTAATTTCCGAGATCTCAGGGGGTCAACTTAACCCTTCCCCACCCGAGCGAAGGTGTATCTAGCCGGCCAGCCGGGCGAGTGTTAATGGCGTCATCTTTCGGTCATGTCATGGAACCATTGTATGACGTCAGAGTCGCTGCCAGGCTGGCCGCGTCAGGATGGCCACTATTTTAACGGGCTGACTCACATGTAGCATTTCGGCTCGCGAGTACAACGTGATTTGGGAAGACCTGTAAGTGAAATGAACCAAATATCGTTATGTGCCCGTGCTTTGGCCGTTCTCATCGTGATGATCTCTTTTATTTCTCCATGATGGCATGTTTTTTCTTTGCACTTATTTTTCGTGGCTAAACCCACTATTTCAAGTTATCCAATCCCAGGCACATTTTCGTCGTAACTAGTAGCGCCTCAAATGGCCCTGGTTAGACCGTGGAGCCCCTGAGAACGCAGAAGGGTATCTCAGTGCCCAGAGGACCCCTCAGTGGCCACAGCGGCCCTAGCAATCAGCCGAACCCCTGAGCAGCTAATAGGCCCCGGAGTGGTCATGGGGACACTGGGCAGATGAGCGAGCCTTTGGCGATTTCTAAGAACCCTAAGCGTCCTGAGCGCTCTTTTTTGGTTGGAGGGGGGGGGGGGGGGGGCAACAGCAGGCAGAAGGGTAACTGGGGCCCAACAGCAGGCAGAAGGGTAACTGGGGGCCAAGAGCAGGCAGAAGAGTAGCTGGGGCCCAACAGCGGGCAGAAGAGTGACTGGGGCCCAAGAGCAGGCAGAAGAGGTATCAAGTTTGGAAGTCGCCTTCCTGTTACCCTGGCACGAAGGGCGAGCACTGCGGGAAACAAATACCGTACCTCTGGTTTCTCAGATGAGCGTCTTAACCACTACGCTAGAACGGTCAAAGGGGCTCTGGGTAGTTCCGAGGTCACTTAGCTCGTCCTTCCTGAGAAGTGAGAGGCAACTGACGCCATATAACCCCAGCAGCTGAAGGCGTCATAAAGCGACGATGACAACAACCGTTCAGGGGTGGTATTGA